CGCCACCTCGCCCGGCTAGTTTTTTGTATTTTTTAGTAGAGACGGGGTTTCACTGTGTCAGCCAGGATGGTCTTGATCTCCTGACCTCGTGATCCCCGCCGTCTTGGCCTCCCAAAGTGCTGGGATTACAGGCTTGAGCCACCACGCCGGGCCCGAAAGTGCTGGGATTACAAGCCTGAGCCACCACTGCAACATTTAGATTCCAAATACAACAAGCTAATGAGTTACAGGTCTTAAGGTGTTCCATAATTTGTGTATACAGGTTTTCATTCCTAACTCCAATTTATGTAAATACAAAGTATTTTTTGCATGGTTTAACATACTGAATTCCCAGGTACACAAGTACCATGTAAATTGAGGGAATAATTATACTTTCCTTTTTTTTTTCTTGTCTTTTTTTTTTTTTTGGAGACAGTCTCACTTTGTCACCCTGGCTGGAGTGCAGTGGCACTATCATGGCTCACCGTGGCCTCCACCTTCCTCCCAGGCTCAGGTGATCCAACCGCCTCTGCCTCCTTGAGTGACTGGGACTACAGGCATGGACGACCATGCCCTATTAAGTTTTGTATCTTTTGTAGAAATGGGGTTTTGCCATGTTGTCCAGGCTAGTCTCGAACCTTCTGGGCTCAAGTAATACGCCTGCCTTGGCCTCCCAGGTTGCTGGGATCCCAGGCCTGAGTGAGCCACCACACCTAGCAGCTTTTTTTTTTTTTTTTTTTTTTTTAGAACGTTTAAGAGTTGGTCAGTATTTTGGAAAATCAACTTCTGTACATTAAAGTTAGGACACTGCCTTATTTTTTAATGGTGGGTTATATTTATGCTTTTCTATTTGACACTAGTTTGTCAGGGCTGGAAAACAGCCACATGCTCACCTAGTCAGTATGACCTCAATGCAGTTGAGGTGGGAAACGGGAAGACTTCAGTGTAGTTTCTAACCTGATATTGGCATCTAATACCGGGAATATGACGTCCTGTCAAGTTACCGTAAGACAACGTGAAAACGGCATCACATAGTCCTTGAGGGATGATTGTCCTTGGCGGCCAGCAGCAATGACAAAGCAGTGAGCTCACCAGGGTCAGCCCACTCAGCTGTGGTACATTTTTCCGGTGGCTCAGCCGTAATCCATAGTTTCACCCCAATTAACTTCCCAGCTACATTGCGTCTTTTAAGCTTTGTTTTGTAAGCATTGAAAAGAATGGTGCTGAGAAGCTCTCCATGATTACCTGAGCCTCAGTGACCACCATCTTCACCTGAAGCTGCTCAGCATCCAGTGACCAAGTATCTATGGCCACTTAGCAATAGTGGAGGTGCTCTGGCATCCTCCTAGTGTTTTTTTATGTCGTCGTCGTCGTCTTATATTTTTTTGAGATGGAGTCTTGCTTTGTCACCCAGGCTGGAGTGCAGTGGCACGATCTCCACTCACTGCAAGCTCCGCTTCCTGGGTTCACACCATTCTCCTGCCTCAGCCTCCCGTGTAGCTGGGACTACAGGCGCCCGCCACCACACCCGGCTCATTTTTTTAAAATGTATTTTTAGTAGAGACGGGGTTTCACCATGTTAGCCAGGATGGTCTTGATCTCCTGACCTCGTGATCCGCCCGTCTCGGCCTCCCAAAGTGCT